GTGGTCCTGACTGGGTTCCAGGTAATGTCACGGGTGTTCCTTACATGGGCAGTGACGCACAGCGTTAGAGAAGTAAGTATATGTTTAAAGAGAGAGTTCACTCAAAAATGAAAATTCTATCATCATTTACTCACCCTCAAGTTGTCTTTCTTTTTTTTTCTTTTTTTGACACAAAAGAAGATATTTTGAAGAAACCAAACAGTTGCTAGTAGCCATCAGCTTCCATAGTATGGAAAAATGTAGTTGTTACCAGCAACTGTTTGGTGCAACATGAGGGTGAGTAAATGATTTTTGAGAGAATGAAAAATTGTTTCATTTTTGGGTGAATTATTTTTTTTAACTTGCATATGTTACAGTGTTATTTTAGAATTATTTATAGACTATTATAGTATTTATTAATATTTAAAATTTGCTGTATTATTTATTAGTTTAATTTTAAAACGTTTAATGATTTATTTTGTTTAGTCATTTTTACATTTAGTTATTATTTCACAATTTCTATATTATTTTTAAGTTTTATTTTATTATTATTTATTATAGACTATTATAGTATTTATTCATATTTAAAATTTGCTGTATTATTTATTAGTTTAATTTTAAAACGTTTAATGATTTATTTTGTGTTTAGTCATTTTTACATTTAGTTATTATTTCACAATTTCTATATTATTTTTAAGTTTTATTTTATTATTATTTATTCATTTTAATACTTTAACTTTTATTTTATTTCACTTAGTTTTCATGTAATTTTTTTTTTTAATGATCTAATATTTATATTTTATTTTATTTCAGCTTTATTTCAATTAGCAAAAACAATTTTTAATAGTTTTATTTTGGTTTTAGTTAAGAGCAACACATATGTTTTACTTGTTCAGGTGACCTACAGTATTATTGGTATATTATTGAATATTTTTAATAGTGATGATGTCAGGGATTCTCATGGTTAAAAACCTGGATATGAAAATCCAGTATCATTATGTCATCAATCTCTCAAATTTCTCTTTATCATTAATGTTCCCTATAACACTATGAGCAATATTTCTATGTTCGTCTCATTGACTCTTGTCTACTGCCATCTAGTGGATTTCAAGTTGGTTTAATATTTCAGTGCTCATCAAAAGCCAAAATCCTGCATCAGTAGAATTTTAGTGTGAAGAAAACAATGTTATTTATTTGAAGTTCTTTGAAACTAAGAATCAAGTTCTGATTGTCTGTCCCAGAGAAAGACGTCTGAGCTGAAGTGTATAGTTCTGTAAGTTATTCCTGCGAGAAACCTGCCTGAACCAAAACTGGGAAGTAATACTAACATGTAACATGTCCATGTGTGCCTGTGTATGCTTCTGTTGCTAAAATAACCTCCTTTCAAGCCTGTATGCGTGTAGAGGCGAAATTGGAGCCTTTGACGGGCCTGAATGCTTTTTGAAGTGCTTCTGTTTACGATCATCTCAGTAGTCCATCTTTGTGTGTCGAGTGGCTTCAGTGAATTGCGCATAACTGCATGGTTCTCGACTAAATTTGGCTGCTTGCTAAGCAGTTCTGTCTCTTCCCTGTGTGACTTACAGTTTCTCTCATTTTAGGTCCAAAGTGAAGACAGTGTTCTCCTCTTTGTGGTGGCCTGGACGGTCACGGAGATCATCCGTTACTCTTTCTACACCTTCAGCCTGCTCAACCACCTGCCTTACCTCATCAAATGGGCAAGGTGAAGCTTCTCAGTTTATTTTCTGGCTTTTTTTTTTGTTGGTAGAAAAGTATATTTTATATACTTTGCTCTTCAAATTTTCACAGGTACACATTTTTTGTTGTGCTGTACCCCATGGGAGTGGCAGGGGAACTTTTGACGATTTATGCCGCGCTGCCATACGTGCAGAAAACAGGGCTCTACTCCATCACCTTGCCTAACAACTACAACTTCTCCTTTGACTACCACACCTTCCTCATCCTCGTCATGATCTCCTACATCCCCTGTACGTTTTAATTCCTGGACAAAGAGATTATGCATCAAATGTTTTCTCAAAATGCTTTGTTTTGATATATTCCATCTGTAAATAATCCGGTTCCTCAGTTGATCTTGTATAGCTTCAAAATCTCTTGAAGCTCATTCTTGTCTTGTCAATGAACAGCTCTGTTCCTGTTAATGACCTTCTTTGTCCGTGTTCCTCAGTATTCCCGCAGCTCTACTTCCACATGATACGCCAGAGGAAGAAAGTTCTTGGTCACGTGGAGGAGTACAGCAAAGTGGAATAACTCGCCCTGCCGTTGCCGCACACAGCAGACTGATCGCAGCGAAAACGGAAACAAGCGGATAACCTTTAAAAGCCACACTACAGATTTTTTATTTAAAAAAAAAAGAAGACAAGGCGTTCTTGTCAGTTAAACAGGCCAGATATGCAGAATGATTGTTAATGATACTATTTTGGTCAAGAACTGTTGCAGTTGGTGATTTTAGGGATCCTGTAACAACACGAATGGCTTTTCCTCAGTTTAGAGGGAGAGGAATGTCTTTAGCATACTAATGCATCAGCTACTGTGTGACAACATTTTTATTTTTCATTCTAAATGTAGAATTACAGACCAAATATTGTAGCAAATATCATTCAGATAAAGGGCAAAAATACAGTTAGCTGCATCTGGAGGCTTTAACCAGAAGAAATGTCTCATAATTTTCCTGTGTGGTGTGTTTTGTACATTGTATTTCAGACATTTGAATCTAATTGACTTAAATCTCTGTTTCTCACTCAGCTCGTTTCTTTTCTTTATATTTGAGTATAATTCATAACTCAAACCGTTCTTGACTTTCACACTACTTGCGTGTCTACTGATTCCCATCATGATTACTGTTAGTATTTTCATTTTGTTTTGTGTTGTGTTTCTTAAAGGATCAATGTTAATCGGTTGTTTTGTTCAGTATTGGATATATATTGTTGGTTTGTGGCCGTTTGCGGGAAAAAAGAGGTGTATCACCCAGAGAAATTGGCTGAGTTGCTGGGTCGGACCTCGTAGTCAATACTACTAATGTACTAGATGTGCATTTCTGTCGTAGAAAGAGATTTCAGCTGACACTTTTGGAGCTTTTATGGCTGGCGATGTGGAAGTGTTTGGCTAAGAGAGACTCCCACGCCGAGCAGAAGAGAGCACAAGCCTCGGCTAACGGGGGCCAATTGGATTTGAGTGCCTCCAGTCATGCTTTGCCAATGAGTCAAATCTAATAATGTGGAGGGAAAGCTGGGAGTCAAGACTAACTTAACGCTTCATTGCCCGTCTGCCTAATTGTGAACAGTCAACTTCAGCCCTCCCAATGCAAATGACTCTCTCTCGTATTGAAGTGTGAGCCACACTATTGCACAGATAGAGTCTTTGCAAACAAAGTGGTAAGCCTGTTTCCCTTATCAAGCCTATTCAGGAAAAGATTAGCATGGGATGAATGGAGTGCAACTTTGAATAACACTGCATGTAAAAGTGGTGTGGCTAAACCTTGGTTAATAGAAGCATGACCCCTTAACTCAAATAAAAATGCCAACATTGTCAAGCTTTTGATATTCAAGTTCTGCATGGGACCAGCAAACTTTGTATGAATAGTAATACGATTATATATATTTACAATAAACCATAACATGGGAAGCAAAGCCAGTTTGTTTTTATTCTATAAACTTAATTGCTTTATCTTTCTCATATTTTAGTATTTAACCTGCAGCGTAATTAAAAGTATTGTGTCTTTCTTACATATATTTCACTTTATTTCAATATACAATTAAACACATATTAGGTTTTATAGACTTGTACAGTATTTTAGTAAAGGGGACTATTCATCCTTCCTTCACATGATGGCAGTAGACATCTATGTTTGTCTAATATATTTTAACTGAACACGTTCTGTGAGCTCAATTGTCAGAAATTAACCTTTTTATTAAGGGGCAATGTTTGCTTCCTGGGGTTTGATTTTAGCCATTTAAAAACAATGCATCTCCCTTTTATGCTAAATCCACATATATATATTATTTCACTAAATATAAATGCGTATTTCACTAAAGTAACCTTTCCCTTTGAATAATTAACTTGACTTAGAATAAGAATTAAGAAATGCATCTAGTGTTTAAAAGACTAGGAGCCAATTTTTGCTTTTGCTTTTTGAATTTCACCCTAATCCTATACACTATTTTTTTACCCTGATGTGCTTTAATTGTTATTTAGAAAAGTTTGTAAAGCCGAATGGGCACAATTAGCAATAAAACAGCTTGTCCAATACATACGCACAGTTTGGAATCATAGGGCCCTTTTACACCTGGTCACTTCATGCGTTTTCTCTGATTGGATAGCTATCTGATTTGTTTAGCTAATTTTTACAATCCTTGCTTTATGTCTGATTTAAAAAAAATAAATAAAACGTTATTCATTCATATTTGAGTTTTCTTAAAGCCTGAAAAGCATTCTTTTGTTCAGAAATAAAGTGGGACAAAATAGTTTAAAAGCAGTTTTCCGTGGGGTTTGTTTTTGCATCTCATCTGTTTAAAGAATGGGAGTCATGAGACCTATGAAAAAAACAAAACCGAGGAAGCATGACTCTGTTGCAAACAACAAGATCTTTTGTCTTCTCGAACTGACACAGAAAAGTTTAATGCTCTTCACACAGCTATTGCCAACGGAATCCTGCATTTTGAAATGGAAAAAGTGTCAACACACTGGGACGATAAACAACTGACACAACTTATCCCATGTTAGGGGAAAACGATGTATTGTCTGTTGAATCACTGATAAGTGAATGATTTCATTTTTAAAAAGTAAAAAAGAAAAGTATAACCATGAGAAAAACAACATTCCCATGCACATTATTCATATTTAGGCTACATAAAACATCCAGGAAAAGGCTTAACATTGAGAATATTTTAATGTAGTTAACTGGTTTAATAAAAAATATACTTTTATACTTGAAATGTGATCTGACATAAAAAATATTTACCTCTATAATTTATCTCCCATGTTTATTTATTTATATAAAACCCCTACTTTATTAGCATAACAAACAAACAATTTTCACCCACTCTCCCTTACGTACAGCTGTGCGGGTAGTCCCGCCCACTTATCCAAATCACTGTGTACTGACACACAGGTTGACCAATAAAAAATATATAATGGCAACTTGTGCAACCAGCTATCCAATAGGATCGCACGTAAGGCGGGGCCTAAAGATCAAACTTGGTTGAATGGCAATACAAAGACAAGAAGCACCAAAACGGAGGATAACGCTTAATCAATTCTGCGTGCTTCGGTCTTGAGAATCTGCAGGGAAAGGACGTGCAGCTCGTCCGGCACAGTCATTACGCAGCTCAGCTCGCGCAGAGCGGATTCGACGTTCCTCTGGCGTGACAATTCATCTTCTCATCTAGACGCCAGCGCTGATGATGCTGCTAGTGCACCAAGATCATTGGAGATACCTATCTGCACAGCACGGATGAAGACTCCTTCACTAAAAGACACTTGTGAGGTCATCTTGGGAAGACGCAACTTCTCATGCAGGCGGGTTGGAAAGCTCAGGTTTTCACAGCAATCGTGATCATGTAATCTAGTGGGCTGCGACCACATATTCACAGGTGTACAGCTTGCGTGGATCAATGCATCAGTGCGTAACATTACGCACCATGGAGTCGTGCTCTGCACTTCTAGCTCAATCCAAACCACACTTTTGCGGACACTGCTTGTTCTGTCATGAAAACGTGGAGATCAAGCGTGATGGACGTAGGGTCAGTTCTCATTGATTTGGACTAAATAACGCGATTTTAAGCAGTGTGCGAATTATACAGTGACGTTAAGGGGGGAAAACGTGACTATTTTTAAACGAATTTTGCATTTTTTGAGAAAGAAATCTGGTAAATGATTAAGGGTAAATTTAATTTGAGGAGAACAATCTTTCGATGTTCGTCTCGCGTAAACGCAAATTGCCATTTGGCGCCATTAACAAATATCAGTAATCTTAAGAGACTTTTTAAAACTAAACACTTAGGTTGTTGTGACAAATTTGTGGTATGTAACTCTATAATAAAGTGATGCTTTAGTTTTTGTAATGCTTAAGTAATTAATTGCAATGGAAAGCTCGCGAGCAGCGTACTGTTGTTATGGTTACCTCATCTGGCGAAGGCGACTAATGTTTGTTAGCTTCCGTTTGGCGACAGGTGAGAATACGCGCTCTGACTAACTTATCTAACTTTTATTCGTGCTGAAACGTTCGAAACCTATATACAGGCCTACTTTTATATACTGTTGTGTGGTTTTAGTACTTTCACAACATTTTGATTTTATTTCCTCTGGGAGGTTCAAGGGGGTCGAATCCCCTTAATGCGTGATTTGCACCCAGAGGTGGTTTGTATATTAGCATCTATAAATTGAAATGGGGCGCACAATTACTCCCTCTGCTGTTTACCTCCTCTAATGCTCTAGCCACCTGAGGATGTGTCTCAAACGACTACTTTGTATATTTAATTAATAATTTAAAGTCCTCTGTGTTTATAATGATGTAAAAAACGAACGGATTGACTTGCAAAATGTATTTCTCTCTCTCAGAATTGCTGACTACAACAGCTGTACTCACTTTACATTGGTCCTATTTTATAAAAGCAGTATACAAAATGCTGCTTTAAAAATTAAAAATGGACCAATTTTACTAGTTTTCAATTGGATGCACATGTCTCACACACACAAGTTTGGTTTACTTTTTTGTTTTAAATCACCATCTAACTGCAACGTTGTGTCTTAAATTGGCAAAACGACTTTAATATAGACGATGTTCCCCAAAGTAATGACTGAAACATCCCCTCTTTAGTGGAAAAACTATATATTTGGGATCATATACATGATTGATAAGTTTAATATTTATATTTATACAGTGTGAGAATAATTCAATTTCAGTTAAATCAATATTGAAAAAAAAATCTCAGTAACGTTAATCTGTTTTGGTTCGTTTCCCGTAACCCATTTCTCTTACACCACAACAAAACGCTAACGTCTTTATTATATATTTGTGGCATGTACCTATAGTAACTTGATAAATAATAACAGTAGTTATGCATCGTTCGATAGAAACGGCTGTTAAGCAGCTGTTGCTGTGGTTTCCTCCTCAAGCAAAGGTAGTTTCTGTTCGCGAGCGTAGGCTATACGTTAGCGCACTCTGACTAACTTGCGTGACTACTGAAATGTTCGTTATTTGAAAGTATTGCGAAACGTATATTATGTTTGTATGTAAAAACAAAACTTGTAAGACCTACGACCTTTTTCTTTGACCTCCTTCGGAGAGTTAATTAGGACGTCTAACTCCCTATAATTCGCACCCTGAAGTCATATTGCATGTAGTAATCGAGATCATGTCCAGATCTAACAGCGTGAGCCCACCCGGCGCTGGCGCTCCTGGACTGAGGGGAGGGACGGAGCACAGATCCGCTTGGGGCGAGTCTGAGTCCGTGGCGAACGGATGTCCATACTCGGCCAGATCCTCCTGCAAAAAGCTCATACGGTCCAACAGCCGGTGGAGAGAGGACGATGACTTCGAGCGACAACCGGGCCGAGCCACGACCACCGTCAGCCGGGTTAGTTTCAGATCCAAGTCTGCCTGGCAAGAACACGGGGAGGAGAGTCGCAACAATAACAGATCTTCCCCGAGGTACCGTGATGGAGAAGTGAGACCCAAGTCCGTGGAGTTGGGTTTGGAGGACAGAAGAACCAAGTCCAAACCAGAGGAGGAGCCCATGCCAGAAGTGAACTTTTCCATGAGCGCGTGCTGCAACGGCCTGATGCAGATTTTCAAATCTAAGAAGTTCCAGTCGGAGAAGTTAGAGAGGCTTTACCAGCGTTACTTCTTCCGACTTAACCAGAGCAGCTTGACGATGCTCATGGCCGTTCTGGTGCTGGTGTGCGCGGTGATGCTGGGGTTCCACTGCGCTGGAGGAGTGTATCGACTCACTTACGTGGTGGTTTTCTCCACGGCAATCTTACTCATTCTTACGCTGATGGTCGTGTGCAACAGGAACGGCTTCCATCAGGATCACATGTGGATAGTTTGCTATGTGCTCATTTTGGTGGTGCTGGCTGTACAGGTGATCGGTGTGCTGCTCGTGGAGCCGCGCAGCGCGTCTGAAGGCATCTGGTGGACCGTGTTTTTCATCCATGTCATTTACACACTTCTGCCGGTGCGGATGAGAGCAGCGGTCATCACTGGAATTATACTGTCTACCATACATGTGCTGGTCTCGTGGAAGTTAAACGAAATGGACGTCTTTTTGTGGAAACAGGCGAGTACAGTGCATATATGCTTTCATCGCTTTATTGCTTGAAATCTATCTATCTATCTATCTATCACTCACTCAAGACTGTCAACATGGTCATTTGACCATAGGTAGCCTACACTCTAAAAAATGCGAGGTTAAATACAACCCAGTGCTGGGTAAAATAGGGACAAACCCAGCAATTGGGTTGTTTTGACCCAGCGGTTGGGCTAAATGTTTAACCCAACCGCTGGGTCAAAACAACCCTACAATATTTCAGTTTATTTCTTAACCCAGCGCTGGGTTATATTTAACCCAGCATTTTTCAAAACAACCCAATTGCTGGGTTTGTCCCTATTTTACCCAGCACTGGGTTGTATTTAACCCAGCATTTTTTAGAGTGTACAGTACGTCACGTGGCTGTGATTAGTCTATTTGGTTATGTGCACAATTCCATGAGATACTGCAGCAGTTAATAATGAGAAAGTGTGTTTAGTTCATATACATTTTTCCTCTGCCAGATAAAATTCCAAAAGAAGCCAAAGCATCAAACTTAGCTATAATCAACGCTGGGATTGACAGCTAGTCTGGATCGGAGCAACAGACATTTATACCTTCACCTATTCCAGTGGTTCCCAATCCTGGTCCTGGAGAACCCCCAACACTGCACATTTTAGATGTCTCCCTATTCAAACACACCTGATTCAACTCATCAGCTCATTAGTGAAGACTCCAAGACCTCAAATGTGTGTGTCAGATAAGAGAGACACCAAAACCGTGCAGTGTTGGGGGTTCTCCAGGATCAGGATTGGGAACCACTGACCTATTCAAAGTGTTCCGTAATCACTCCGCTCCAACTCCTCTCCGTGTTTTGTATTTTCCTTTCCCGTGTTTAGCTAGTGCGTAGTGGAAATTCTCAAATGTGTTAGTTGCTTAAAAGTAACGTTCATAGATAATATGTGCAATGGCCAAAAAGTTAACATTTTGAAAGGTATTTTAATTACAAAGTGCATTGGCAAAAGTGCTGTTGGTCACATGTCTGTCAGTGAAGTTTACTGTACTGTCTAGTTGCTGTAGTAATTTTTCAGTTCTGTAGTTTTTGCTTTAGTTCTGAGAATTTCAGTAGCCCTTTAGAAGAATTGCAAATCCCTTGTTACCTCAAACCGTTCAGCAAGAGTTTGTCTATCAGTCAGCACTATAGGTCTGTTTTTGAAAAGCACTTAGATGTTCTTGCAGTTCTGAAAGCGACAAAAGTTGATGATGATTCACCCTTTTGTTTTCTCAGCAAAGCCTTGGATTTAGTTGAACACACACTTTTAAAGTATTTTATTAAATGGCTGTGTATGGATTTATCAGATGGTGAATGCTTCCGTTTTTGTCCGTTTATGGGTGACTTGGTACCTTTTACTGGAAACTAATAACTGCTTTACAGATTTTAACTGCATGTATGTGTGCAAATAAGGTGCAATCTTGATTTTTGGATTATTTTTAATTATTAAATTTATAAATATTAAACATTTCTGAAATAACCTTTAAGACTTCATAGATTTATTACAAAGAATTACATCTCTAAAAATCTAATAATCGTCACAATGACTAACTCTACGTGTAAGGTAACCTTTGATTATTTAAGTTTTAATTAGTCATTGAATATATACACTGTAAATTTCTCATCAGTGCCAGTATTTTTCATAACCTTCGGAATGTGTTATGTATACTCTCTGCTGTCATTATACTTAACTGCTTTGCTCAGTTGAATTTCACAATCTTTTGAATCCTCCAACTAATAAAACATTTTATAGTAAATGTTTTAAAATCCTTTTTCATTTTCATTAAAACCACAGACTCTTTGAATGGTGTGTGTGTGGGAACAGCCTGCTGTGTTTGTTGCTCTTTCCACACAATGCTGTTGTCTTTAGCATATCAGATCTCTCTCTGTTTACATGGGACCTAGTAGGACTCTCCAATAGTTCACTGTTGTTTTATAAAGATCCTGGAATGAAGGATGTTTTAGGAGCGCTCTCATAGATGACTAGCTTTCATCAGGCTGTGATGAGTGGTGCTGCTTTTTATGAGAGGTTTTGGGGCTGGAGCACCGGCTAAGGTGAAATCAGGTCGCTCTTAGTGTTTAGATGAGATCTAAATGACCGTTCCGGGTTCAGTACCAGGTTAGCCATCTTATTACACTTTTAGGATTTCTTTCTTTAATCATATGTACAGGTACTGGCATATACTTTTTCCTAAAGTGAATGAATACAAAGGTGCTTTGCAGGATTGTCTTACAGATCATCGACAGTTCACAATCTTCAGCTACATTTCCCCTGTGTGCTTCATTAAAGCCAGAGGTGGGACCCAGTTAGAGGAGCTAGCATAGACGCTTCCCCTAGGGGGAAAATAGAGGAGGTGGACAGAGTCCTGCCTGGCACAATTGCCCCACTCTGTAACCTGCAGACCCACTGGAATTCAAAACAGATGTCCTCCATGTCCCTCTTGAAAGATCTGCTATTAATTTGCCTTTGAGAGTCAACCCCTATGGAAGCATTAACCTTCCCCCAGGCCAGGCTGACTACGTGCTCTGCAGAGCAGCATGCTGAAGAAAGCACCACCTCTTGGGACTAATGCTCACACACAGATGATCTTTTGATGCTCCGTCAACTTTTGCTCAACTTGTGCAGCACATTTACGTTGTCTGAGTGATCAATTTACATTATATCACGTTTCAGTTGTAGACTGATACCAGTGAAATTTTGCAGAAAAAACGGATATGCTACTAAACACGTCTTCCTTTTTTAAAGGGGTCATATTATGCTTTTTTTAAAGATCATTATTTTGTGTATTTGGTGTAACAGAACATGTTGACATGCTTTAATGTTCAAAAAACACATTATTTTTCAAATACTGTACATTATTGTAGGTCCTCTATGCCCCGCCTCTCTCAAACGCTTCGTTTTCTACAAAGCCCCCTCCTTTGACAAGCGCAGTCTGCTCTGATTGGCCAACTGACCCAGTGCATTGTGATTGGCCGAACACCACAAGCACACGTCGGAAATGTAACGCCCCTTACCATGTTCTTTTTAGCAACGTCATATGACCCCTTTAAAGTAGAAGGACTGAAATAGTATTTTCTTGTAAAACAAACTTTAGTAATATTTTATTTATACTTAGAAAAAAAAATTAGTGTGCTGAAGAAGTGCCTGTTTGGGTTGACATGCGTTGATGTTTTAAATATGTGACCCCTCTAATAAAGGCTTTTTAATACAGAAATATGAGTTCCTGGATGTGGAAGTATGTTTTCATTTCAAAAGGAAGCAGTCACTAATATATTTATGTATCAGTGTGTATTGTATTGTGAGGTCGTAGGCAACCAGCCTTATTGCAGATTTAGTTTCGTGGTTACTAGAAGACTTTACAAGTTTCAAAACCATATGTGTAATCACTGGAAAGTTTGGAGGTTTTTTCTCTCTCCATAATGCAGCCGTAGGGGTGAGTTTGTGTTACCTTTCAAGATCCAACTCTGACATGTCCCTTATGAGTGCAGACCCTCAATTGTGTTTCTTGCATCTTAGCAACCAAGGCCTGTTCTCACAAACACCATCCAGAAGCACTCAGGGCTTCCCTGTGAGAGGACCCCTGCTTTTCATCTCTTAACCACCTCCACTGAATGTGCGATCTTACCATTAGAGGTTCAAATTGAGATAATTAAGGCACAACTGCCCTTGGTGATGGGAGTCTTTACTTCACTCCCTCTTCTTCACTCCCACCTTGCATTGTTTTTCCTGTTGTCAAGGTAGACCTGAGGGTAATCAAGCTCCGATATGTGTGGGTGGCTGCCCGCAACTCTCTTAAACGGTTGCTTCAGTCTATGGCTTGTATTAGGTGTCTTATTATTAGGAACCACATTTTGAGGCACTTCATAAACATTCCACTCTTCAACTATAAGCTGTGATGGTTTATTTATCATAGTTTGTTTAACATTTTTTTTCTATTGCATTAATGAAATAGTTCACCCAAAAATGAAAATTCGCTGAAAATGTACTCCCCCTCAGGCCATCCAAGAAGTAGATGAGTTTGTTTTATCTTCGAAACAGATTTGGACCAAATTTAGCATCATTTGATCCTCTGCAGTGAATGGGTGCCATCACATTGAAAGTTCAAACAATAAGTTCATCAATTAACATCTTGTGAAGTAAAAAGCTGTGAGTTTGTAATAAACAAATCCATCATTAGAAAGTTTTTAACTTCGAAGTGTTGCTTTCGGCTAAAATACGAGTCCTCTATCCATAATATTGGGTTTCTCTGGTGAAAAAGTTGTCTGGATTAGGAGAGTATTATGCACATCAAGCATCATTTACAAGCGAAAACGGTTCTAAACAAATATGTTGGTGGATTTTGATGCGAGCAGACAACAGGGGAGGACTTGTTTGTTTATTTATTTATTTTTTAAACACTGACTGGAGGAAGAGTTGCTGTGAGTTTGTAATAAACAAATCCATCATTAGAAAGTTTTTAACTTCGAAGTGTTGCTTCCGGCTAAAATACGAGTCCTCTATCCATAATATTGCTTTTCTCTGGTGAAAAAGTTGTCTGAATTAGGAGAGTATTATGCACATCAAGCATCATTTACAAGCGAAAACGGTTCTAAACAAATATGTTGGTGGATTTTGATGCGAGCAGACAACAGGGGAGGACTTGTTTGTTTATTTATTTATTTATTTTTTAAACACTGACTGGAGGAAGAGTTATGGATGATGGACTTGTATTTTGGACAGAAGTGATAGTTTAAAGTTAAAATGCCTTAATGAGTGATTAGTTTTTTTTTACAAACATGCAGCTTGTCACTTTTTTCTCAAGAGTCATGCAGATTACTTGTAAATTATTTTGTTTTTATCAACTGTTTGAACTCCCATTCTGACGGCACCCATTCACTGCAGAGGATCCATTGGTGAGCAAGTAATGTAATGCCACATTTTTCCAAATCTTTTCAGATGATGAAACAAACTTTATGGCAGTAAAGACACTTAGGCCAC